CCCCTTCTTTATATTCGTAAGATATCCCTCGAACTACGGATCCCTCGAATTACTGAGGCTGGTCCCGACGAATTCGAGCTATCCGTGTTGTACAGTATGTACCATCGGCAATAAACCAAAGGCAGTGCAGAGGCACATCTCGAACCATCATGCACACATCAGACGCACGAATTTGCTCATTTCGTAATATTCATATCACTCCTTGTCTTTTCAGATAAAGGAAACAGAATTGTGGGTGATTGGCAGGTGCTCTGGTGTGGTTTGCTCCTCCTTTCTTATCATACATCTTTTTAAAAAAATCTCTCCTCCATCTTTTAGTGTTTGTTACTCTCTTGTAACACCTCTAATCCCCGGCACCTATATGACCTTTGTGTGTTGCAAGCGCGGTAAAACTCTTACTAAAATTAAAAATAAACAGTATTCAAAAACAAAGTATGGAGAGCCTAAACAGAAGGGTGACAGGGACAGATCAGGAGAATTCAGCTTTTTTAGAGCAAAGGAGTACTCAGGAGAACCATGGTGGCCGTTGTCTGTCGCAGACCTGGCACTTGTTGATCAGGTAGGGTCGAAGCAACTCACCTCCTTAACTTCGTGACGTCGGTGGCATAGTGGTTAGGCTCTCGGACTTACAAACGTAAGGGACCCGACGTTGTGTCCCTGGGAAATTCACTTTACACGAATTCTCCTCACTCTACCCAGGTGGGAATGGGTACTCTGCTAAATACAGCGAAAGATCTTGTCAGTTTATTAGTGTTTGAGTGTGTACAATCCTCTGCTTGCATTGCATGCTTCCTGGGAAATGTTTCTGAGTGTTCTAGGGTAATAATATAGAACCCTCAGAAACATTCTCGGCCTCCAAGGAAGCATGCATGCAATGCAAGTAGCGGATTGTGCACACTCAAACACCAACAAACGGACAAAGACCTTTCGCTTTCTTCAGCCGGGTACCCATTCTCCACGGGAGTAAACTGTTGTAAAGCGCACAGAACACTTTGTGGAGAATGGATCTTTTATTTATAATAA